GTCCAGGCCACACAGGCTTACATTTTCAAGTGCTCAACATCAAGCTTCAAGCAGCTTTTTAAGATCTGAACACTTTGATATAATTGAAGTCTGTTTTTTTTTTTTTTTTTTTTGTAAACGTGAACAGAAAGAACCTCCGAGAGGATAGCGACAGAAAGCCTCTGCAGCAGAAGAAAGAAAGAACAAAGTGGCTGTGAAAAAGGAGCATAAACAGACAAAGAAAATGCTTCACGGATCTAACCACACCAGTTTGACTGACGTGATTTCTGGCAATGGCAGCACAAAAATATCAAACCACACAACCTGTTATGAGAAGATTAAAAAAAGTGTTCCTGTGTGCTGTGTAAAATGATATTTGTTTGACCTACCCTACCAGACTGTCCAGCTATGGACTCTGTAACTAGTCCATTAAAATGGGAAGCACACCGTGTGCTATTTATTCTAAGTCCGGTTTAAAAAAATAAAACACAGCAAAAAGAGACAGAAATGGTCCGATTTTGTATCAAATTGTTGACATGTTATTAAAGCAGCATCACACTTTCCTTCACAGTAATGGCTCTTCTTCCACCTCACCCAGACTTGCTCCCTACCAGATTGTTTAGTTCACTTCTGACATGGTTTTATTCTCAGATGAACTTTAAATAATGTTCAAGTAAATCCACTGCTCTTTAGCTTCACACACACAAAAAAAACACCCAAGTCAACAAATATCCATTGCCAGTTGCTAAAAACCACGGCTCTGACATCGATAGGCTGGAATAGGGCAATTTTCATATTACCTAGTTATAAGTTGTTAGTATGAGACCCCTTACAACTTGTTCTCTTTCTCTCTGTCCGTTTTATCACAGGTAATGATTGAAACCAGCTGGCTCAGGTAAAATAACAATTATTGGTTAAACAGATAAAAAATGAAAAACTTCCCCTATTATGAATCCAGAAAGGCATCAATTGACAATAGTTGGAAGTTTATTTTCATCTTATTTTCTAATAAATCTGAAACTACTATATATACAGTATAGAGGCCACTGCATTTGTAAACATTTAATGAATTTTAATTGTCAAGCTATACTTGTAAAGTTAAATCTAACAAAATAACAGATCAAATATTTTGAGGGTTTATTTTCTACTTGCATACTAATGTGGGCAATGTAATATTTAACTTTTTATTTTCAAATAAAAGTTTTTTTTGCCATTTTAAGCAGAGAAAAAAATATATTCAAGTTCTGCAGAACAATTTATGCATGCATTTATATGTTATACTTTTCTAAGGTGTCAAAGTTTGTACTAATTATAAATTAGATTAGCTGTGGAGAAAATGCACAAAAAATAAAATTACGTTTTTTTAATTAGCCAAAAATTTAGGATAAGGAGCTTAGAGTTTTGCTAGATTTTTGAAAGTGGGATCGGCCAGAAAAACTCCAATCAGTGCATTTCAGTGGTCTGTTTCAGAATTGTAGTCTCCCTGTAGTTTTAGCAATGGCAGAGGAGGAAGTGAACAAAGCTGTTCAGTTCATGTCAGTCATACTTCCAAATATTGAATTAACATTAACAGTCGCTTAGTTCGCATCAGCTCTTCTCTCTACAACATCAACATTAGCCAATGAGGAAAATTTAAAACTCTTAACTCACTTCAAGCAATCGTTTCTCAATAGCCACTCTGAACAAAGGAAATACCAGATTAATTCAGGAAGCCCCCAATAATTTTTGTGTCATGTGAATCAAACATGCAAAAAAATTAAATAAAATTAATCTAGTAAATTTATCTATCAGAAACGTCTGTCACTTGTCTCGCTTCCGTCAAAACATGACTGCATTAGGGCTTTCATGATTCCTCGAATGATTTGAGTACCTGTTATTAAAATTCCTCAAGGAAAATTATCTACCTTGCAGCTTTGTTAAATTATGCTTTACTATTTAGCACACCGTGTTGCAGCTGAGTGATTGTTTGTGTTGCACAACACTCTCACTTCTGCCTATGAGTTGTTGATGAAAGCAAAATACTTTCATCAACAACTAGATGCATAACATCCAATTGTCAAGTTTGGTCTGGGGGATTTTATTAATTGATGATAACATCCGGGTTTTTATCATTTTTTGGGGGACCAATAGGTATCTTTAAAATGACTGGCACAATGCATGGAATACGACAGCCTGTCTCCTCCTGGAGTTGCTGCCTGGTTAGAGTGAACTGCAAAGGGTGGTGGGTTCAGTCTATATATGTGAGCTGATAAACTGAACACAGCGGGTGGCTGTACCGTAACCGATCCTTGATGAAAGTGTAATTTTACAGACAACCTGGAAAATAATTTCATATCATCCTGGTTGCATCAAACGGGTGGCGGAACGCATCGTGATGGTACATAGCAGGCGATGTGTTCCTGTGTGTGACGAAGAAGCCAAATTCAGGCACATAAAAGCTGTATATGTGCCTGACTACAGAATAGACTTTTTTTCAGAAGTGTATGTGTGAATATGCCTATTTTTTATTAAATTGAATGTAGTTTGAGATTTTATATAACTTTTACCCAGGTACATTTTTCAAAAAGCTATTATTGCTGCAGGTTAATTTTTAAACTACATAAAAGTAATTGTGTTGGATGCACAAATATGAAAATTTGAGTCAATGTTGATATCCAATAATGCTGATGTTATGGTAGAATTTACCAGTTTTATTTTGTCATATTTTTATTGAATTACTAGATTGTAATAATTGTTCACAACAGTCCTAGAATGGATGAAGTTAATACGAAAAAAAGAAGAAGCAATTGAACAAATGCAGCCTCTTATTCCCACACTGGACCCAAAATAAGTCCTTTTATCTCCAAGCAGGGGTGCCAGTTTACAGCCCCTCTGTACCCAGCACAGGGTATTTCAATGTGTATTCACAAATACTGAGCAGTCAGATGAAAAGAGAGAGCCGCTTCATTCGGGGATGGGAGAGTCCACTCGTTGAATGCATGAGTGACTGATTATTTTCTTAGCTGCTCAGACCTGAGCTCTGTACAAAGCAGAGCTGTTTCAGCCTAAAGAGGCCATGCAAGATACAAAGGTTTTCTAAATAACTCACAGATATTGTGTCATAACAGTGGTCTTCCTTAAAGTTCAACTTCATTTTCTTAACTGCTCCTCAAGCCAGGCTGGTATATATTCACTCATGGGTAAAAGAGAGCTTATTTATCTCAAATGGCAACGCTATTTGAGTCACAGGAAAGACTGTATGAAAATATGTGGCAGTCAAACACTGCGAAGAAAGCTCATCCTGCCTCCCTAAAACCTAGGTCAGCATTTGTGAAGGTCCATTTCTGCATAAATGAGCACACAAACCCAAGCGCCTGTTCAAATATTCTCTCTCTTTTTCTCATGCAGCTCATGACAACAGCCTAGCAGCAGCACTGTTTGATCTCCAATGTTTTCCTTAATCTAGGTTGTCAAGGTTCGCTTGTTGGAGGCTGTTTACTTTACTTCTACAAAAAAAGTAACTTTTTTCCCCTCCCCTTCAGACAATGACTAATCCTAAGAAACAAGAAGGAGGGAGCACCGCCAGCAAAAGTTAAAGCTGCAGTTTCTCTTTTGCAAAAATTTTCAATGGCTCACATTTACTGTATAAAACACTGGAGCGATTGAAAAAAAATTGTGTTCCTGTCTATTTGCTTGTTTTATTCCAATGTACAGATACCATCACAAGTTTGATGTGAACACAATCTAAGCAGTCATGAAAGAGAATGCAATACAATAATAGTTTTGGGGGAAAAAATAAAAAAACTTTGCATTAGACAGTATGATCAGTAAGTTGGAGGTGCCTTGATGGATAAACTTATTTATTTTAAGTTAGCTGACCATTAATAGACATATGAGAAAGAGTATTTGTTTTCTACAGTGAAAAGAACATAAAAAATAATATTACTCTGAATGGTGGAGATGCAGGGGTGTTATTTTTCAAAGAAATATTTATATAAGAATGGGACAGCCATAAATAATATCTCAAGTTCATAATTTTGACAACTAAGTGAAATAAATGAATACCCGCCTTAGAAGACGAACTATGCATAGTCGTATCTCCTAGTAGGGACGCCACACATAAAACAAACCCCGTCTTTTATGGACAGCTAAAAACAAAGCAGATGGAGTGATAGGAAATGTCATGACGAATCACAGTAAGTGCAGCGCAAATGGCTTTTTCTGCTGTTTGGTTTTTTTTGTTGTTTTTTGTTAAGGGGTCAGCGAGCACGTGGGGAAAAGTTCCTTCTCTGCTAAAGAAATCACAGCAAACTTCTCGATTCAACCAAATAAACATTAACTGTGAAGACTTAAACTTATTCTTCGTAAGTAATGCTGTAATTAGAAGTTGTGTGTGGCTACCGCTGCTTGTTCGCTCTTTCCATCTTTCCAGCTGTAACTAAAGAGTTGGTTGGGTTTTTTCTCCAAAAGGTGCATTTCCCCCAGGGTGTCGTAAGTAGCTTCAACTTCAGTTAACTTTCTGAGAAATAAAACGGGACACCACGCCACACAACCACGATAATAAACTGTGCTACCCACTAAGTTTTAGCAGCACGGTTAGTGAGTTTGATTCGCTATGTTTAATCATTTCAGGAGCGAAGTTAGACTCAGTGCGAGCAGCAGAAGGTATCAAAAGGCGAAACAACAAAGCTAATGTTAACATGATGAGAGCTGTGAAACTTACCGGTAGGAAAAAAAAGCTTTACAGCGGCGAACGAGCAGCGCACGCGGAGGGTACAGAGGAGGGAGGGAGGGAGGGTGCAGAGGAGGGAGGGAGGCAAGGGGCCATTTGTTGGAGAATAATGAACCTGTGCACGGAAGGAAGCCTGTGTACCGCGAACGCGTGCGACAACAAATCACACCGTAAACACCAACTAATACTATACTTCGCTCGCCTCAGTGTTGGACTTAGCTGCCATTGAAGGTGAGGAAGAGGAGGAGTAAGAGGAGGTGAGGGAGTTCTCTAACTTAACTTATCTCTAAGGAAATAGATATTATCTTACCGAGGGCGTCGAAATATGGCAATATGTGGAGTTTCGCTCTTGCCGACTCGCCAGTGTGGCTTGCAGGGGGAAAATAGTCTCCTGGCTTTTAATGTTATTAGATTTTTAACACGCCGAGAGAAGAATTAGAGAGAGAAAGAGAGAGAGGAAGAGGAAAAAAGAAGAAACGAGGATTTGAATGTTTTTGTTTTGATGTTCCTTGTCCGTGACGTCATACATCCACCTGCTGGGCAAAACAAGGTTCAGAGCGTTTCAGAGCCTTGACAGAATTAAGTATATTTTCATTTTCAGGAGCACTTAGGTAGATCCTTTCTCTCTCTGTGTGTGTGTGTGTGTGTGTGTGTGTGTGTGTGTGTGTGTGTGTGTGTGTTCGTGTGTGTGTGTGTTCGTGGGTGTGTGTGTGCTACGAGGAAGGTTAAGGTTACGTAACGATGCGCATTAGTTTTACAAGTAAGTGTGACAGGGGGAAAGGAAAAGCTAAATGCCGACTAGTCAAAACTGAGCCAGACGGAACTTTTTCGGAAAAATAACCTTCATTTCTTTTAACTCTTAACTATGCACTACTAAAAATAAACTGCACTCATAAAACAAATTGTGATTTACCCAATAAAAATGAGTGTAACAATTTGGATAGGTTTTATTTGGATGATTGCAATTAACAATTATTTATATTCACCATGAAAGTTACTTTCTTTTAATAGACGGCTGCATGTGTGGCATACCTACTAAGCCAGGACTGCACATGGCTCTCCTTAAGAGATTACTCACTTCAAAGTCAAGTTTTTTTTTTGAGGACAAAAAAAAACAAAAACTCCCAAACAAATGAAATGCTTAATTTTTATTATTATTGCTTTTCTGTAAAATTGCACATTAATACAGCAAACTGCTAATCTAACCAATAAAAATTGACACATCAATTTGCCGACATTTAATTAGGATTTTATACAATATTTATAATTTGATATTATTTATGTTTGACAGCTTAAATAAAATATAGTAAAGTAGCTAAATTGTCCCAGAAATGTTGAAACTTATTCAACTGAATTACTAAATTAAAAATCCATTGTCATCTAATTATGTCTCTGCTCTTTCTGTGTTAAATCTCCAATATAAATATATTTCAGTAACCTTTCGGGGTTTCATAAAGCTAGTCATTTCATGCTAAAGACAAATAATTGCTTTATGATCAAGGCTAGATTGCTGAAATAGAAAACAAAATTTAAGATATATATTTGCAAGAATGGAAGATTTTAATGAATGGCATGTAAGTCATTCCTTAAATTGCTTCAATGCCGTTTAAGGAACACAGCTAAAATGTGACGCTTCTTGGCATTGACTGCTGAATTAACTGCACTTGCTAGCAGATTTGACTTTAGCATTAAAAATGTTGCTAACATAGTAAAACAAATAAATAATCTAACCTGTATTGAACTGTACATAAATAATTGAATTTAATTCAATTTAAGATTGTTATAATATGTAACTTTCAGAAATGTGCCTTGTAATCCCAATAAAAAAAATGAAAAAGTGTGCTTATATGCTTAAGTTTGACATACTCAGAAAAATCTGATATGCTTTTGAAAGGACATGAGATAAGGAGAGTGTAGGTTCTTGTACTTACAATAGCTGCAATCTCAAACATGTGGGCCAGGTTTTCTCAGTTACTAAATGTCAGCTGAGAAGATTCATAAACGCTTTGATTGAACTGAATGTTACATTTCAAATCTTCTGCATACTCCGTCAGAAGAAAGTGTTTTTGGTGGCCGTCTAAAACAATCATGTGTTGGTCAAGGAGAAAAGAATCCACTAGTGAAGACGTTATCTTTATTCCTGTAACAACTTGTAGTTTAGTTGTTTTTTATTTAGTTTTTTCTTTTCTTTTTTTTTGGTTGATCAGTTAAGGGAGGATATCACTTTCTCATGACTACATTTGAGAAAAAGAGCTGAAATCGAGCTTTCTCAGGGAGGACTGTTCCTTGGCGGAGAGCACCACCTTCTGACCATTGTTAATAATAAGAAAATGTCTGTTAGATATTTGATATTGATGTTATTCCAGATCACATTAGAACCTGGATTATGTTTTACAGCCATTTTCTTGTAAAACGTTATGTTTTTATTGTGTCAGTGCTTTTACAGACACATGTATTCATAAATACTTTTTATCATCTATAGGCTTCAACTAATAACTACAGCACTTTGCACATTTTTGTTTTTACATTTTGTCAGTTTGTAACCCCAGCAACAATGTTTCATTAGTATTTAATTTGATTGTTCTGGAGAAAAATGTCCACCTGGGATTTTAGCATGATTCTAGTTGTTCTTTGAAAGTGTCAGAGGTTGTTTTTTTTTAGAGAATGTAAATTTAAAACATAATTAGGTTATAAAAAATGTCTCATAGTTTGAGCATCTCAATTAGCACTAATAAATGTAAAATTTAAAATGAACTAAAATATGGCACAGTAAACATGTGGATGACACTCTGCTAAGATGGGATCAAAACATTATGAATTTTGGAAAAGTAGCATTGCACTTCACCCTGAACACACAATGCCCACCATGAAACATAGTGGTGGTAGTGTCATGCTGCTGGGATGCTTTTCTTCTATCTACAGAGAGCTAAACTGGTCGGAGTTGATGATGGATACTTGAAACTGGGGTAGAGTTCCATCCAGCAAGACATCAACCTCAAACATAAATCTTGAGCTACAATAGAATTGATTACATTTGGATGCACATTCTAAATCTTTGTTTACAATTCTTCAATTTCTTGCTAAAAAGTGTATTTTGATACAATGGACTTCACTATGTGTCCCAACATTAGAATATGTGGATTACACAGATATCTGTCAAACGTCCTTTGGAAAAACTGACTCATGATCTTAACCACAAATCGGATATAATTTTGTAGTTTTGGGGTTCACTTGAGTCTTTTCTACTTAATCCCTAAGATTTTAGTTTTTTATTATTTTATTTTACTGCTTTATTTTTTCTTGCCTGTTTTTTTAAAGCTTAGCATTTCTGGCAAATTGCTGTTTACAGATGTTCTTCACCCATTTTGACTGAGTTTGAATTATTTTATGGATAAGAACAGGTGAAAGATTCAATCTGCGATAACTTGCAGCTGTAATTTCAATAGAAGATGGTTCTAGAAGGTAGTGATTGGTTCAGGAGTGCTGAAAACAGGATACACAGCACACTTCAAAGTTTTATTTATATTTATAAACAACCTGAAAATCATATACCGTATTTCTTCCTCTTCCCAGTTCTATATTACATTGTGTCACATAAAATCCCAATAAATTACATCTAGGTTCTTGGATATATTAAGACAAATTGTGAAAAGTTCAAAGGTTTCTGTACAAAAAATTAAAACAGTTTTGATGTGGCTCATATTTGTGTTATTGCAATAAAAACTAAACCAAACTGAGTGAGTCTGTGGTTTTTTGTTGTTGTTTTGTTAGGTTTTTTTTATCATTCTTAAATCTACAATTAATTTGTGTCTTTTTTGAATGTGCAGCAGGATTATAATTGGATAAAGTTAGCCTTTGTTTGAATTTGTATTTAACCTTTTTAGGTTTGACTAATGAATCTTGTGTTAAATTTTAGCCTTGTGGGAAATATATCTGAAAAAAATACAGGAAGAAACTTTTTAAAGTATTTACCTAGTGATCTATGATATTCTTGAATGAAATCCTTTACTTTCCATATTGTGCTGTCACCATGTTTCCCATTAAGTTGCGAACATGTCTGTTATAATGAAGAACAATGCGTGAGCTGCTTCAGAAAACAAGTTGAAAGAATAATCTAATTTGCGACTAATTGTTCAGCGGCTCTATCTACATGTCAATAGGGATCAGTGACTCCACTGAATTCATTACAGTGTTGTTTATGTGTCACGCCACTGATGTGCTGCGTGGATTAGGATCCCGACTTGATGGGAGTGTGGTCATAAATTAATTGTGGATCATCATCCATTGCATAACACCCTCTTCACAAGTTTGTGTGAACACAGGCTAATTAGCTTTCTGTTAATTAGGTAATTAAGCTAATGAAGAGGAGCTGCTCTTGATTTCCAACGAGGAGTTTTGGTGGTAGGGGTTAAATGCCATTTTGCTGCCAAAGACTGTGGTATTCAAGGTGTGACGGGAAGAGAATGTCTGCCAGAAGTTCAGTAATGACGAGTGAAAGAGGCAAAGTATCGGAAACCAGGTTGTGGTTAGCTCAGTTTTGTCGTTAGCAAAGTGGATAAAATATACACATCCCTATTAAAATGCCATGTTTTCTAGTTGTAAAAAGTAAGACCATACGTAATTTCAGAAAGTTTTTCTACTTTCATATATTTCTGATTAATTAATGACATAAATCTGTTTGATCCCAATCTTAAAATAAACTCTACAATACATGGAATGTCTTAAATGTGCACAATCTTAAACTAACACTATTTTGAGCCAACTTTTCTTTTTGACTTTAGGGTTGTTTTAGAACAAAACATCATAAAATGTGGCTTTTCAACAAATAATGTAATGCAGTGAGAATTACACATGAACCATTCTGTATTTTCAAAAAAATGTTATAAATATGCATAACTAGTATGTATGTGCAATACATTCTAGTTATGTATTATACATAACTAGTATGTAAGAAAAACTAGTTGTGTATTAAACATACATAACTAGTATGTACAATAGCTTCCAAGTTGTCAAACACAGACATGGACCAATCATCCTTTGGGAAAATTTCACTTGCAGTATTTTATTTCTAAAACATGTACTTATTCTACTGCAGTATAAAAATTCAATGTAGTCACCTCCCTAAAATAATGACGACAGTCATTTCTGGCCAAAAGTAATTTTTTTAATATGTTTTATTTGCCAAAATCACTTACCAGGAGTTTCAATAAGAATGGAGCATTCTAGATGTAGTCTTCAACTTAATATAGTAACTTCTATACCGTTTTGTCCAGTTGGGTGCTGATTTTCTTCCCAGCTGAAAACTTCTTAAGAGAAACCTGAAGATTAGGGGGCACTGATAAATCAGCTGTGATTTTCTTAATATTGTGAGATTCTTACTTGTGAAACCAATCTTATCGTGTGATCTCATGTACCTCAGCAATTGTTTAAAACTCAACCGTTGTTCTGTTTCCCTGCTGTGAGAGAGGTTTGACCGACTGATCCATCCACCAGGTCCTGTCTGCATGTTTGTGGTTGACAATAGTCACCTTACTGTTGCCAATTTAGTAACTTTCTTGTTACCTTTAGCTGCTTTTTAGACAAAAGACACGAGTATTGATCAAAATCAAAAGTGGCAGGTAATCTGGTCAGAAAACTAGCCTACTGGAAATCAGTCTGACAAAGCCAACAGAACCACACGATCCATAAAAGGCAGAGACCTGATTTTGAGGACAACAAAACAGATCCCCACAACACCTTGACTAAGCCAAGAGATTCTGTTCATTACAGTTATAAGCAGAATTGGTG